CACCCAATAAAGCATTACAATAATCTAACCTTGAGGTCATAAACGCATGGATTAACATTTCTGTATTTGACATTGAGAGAATAGGTCGTAATTTGGATATATTTTTGAGATGGAAAAATGCAGTTTTACAAATGCTAGAAACTTGGCTTTCAAAGGAAAGATTGCTATCAAATAGTACACCTAGGTTCCTAACTGATGACGAAGAATTGACAGAGCAGCCATCAAGTCTTAGGGAGTGTTCTAGGTTATTATATGCAGAGTTTTTAGGTCCTATAATTAACACCTCTGTTTTTTCAGAATTTAGCAGTAAGAAATTACTCATCCAGTTTTTTATATCGACTATACATTATGCTAGTTTTTCAAATTGGTATGTTTTGCCGGGCCGCGATGAATATAGAGCTGAGTATCATCAGCATAACAGTGAAAGCTAACACCGTGTTTCCTGATGGTATCTCCCAAGGGTAACATGTAAAGCGTGAAAAGTAACGGTCCTAGTACTGAGCCTTGAGGTACTCCATACTGCACTTGTGATCGATATGATACCTCTTCATTCACTGCTACGAATTGATGGTATGTCCCAAAGAACCTCATTGATTAGGGCCTGGAAAACAGCAGGAGCATTAGTGAGTCCAAAGGGCATAACTTGATACTCATAATGCCCTGTAGGGGTGTTGAATGCATTTGACAAGTCCAGCATACTGAATAATGACCACCAGCCAGAGATGCGAAAAGATCTTGGGGGAAGTGGGTAGTGGTCCACACAAATGGCTGGGTACAGTGTCACTTTCAAATCACCACACAGTCTCACTGAACCATCTTTTTAATCACTGGTACCACAGGTGTGGCCCACTCACTGTACTGTATTGGTGAAATCCCTCCCATCTCTGTTAAACATATCAATTCAGCCTCTACTTTTGGCATACGGTACTACCCGTGGCTGGTAGAATTTTGCATTTGCAAAATATGCATTGCATTTACCTTGAGGGAATTGCTGAGCTTCATGAGCGACGGTCTCCGTGGCCACCACAATCTCTACAGCTTATGAAAGGTAAGTGCAGCCTCCATGAGAAGTCGCTTTTGTATTGCTTCATTGTTTAATCCACAAACAAATCTATCCCTTAGAGCAGGGGTTTTCAACCTGTGGGGGGCGCCAGGGGGGCGCCAGCACCTGTCAAGGGGGGCGCGAGCATCAGTTAATTCATAGACGTTCCCTTGAGAATTTATGAATATGAGTTAACAAATCTTTAGCCATCCACTAGGGGGCAATCTGACTCCCACTGCTAGTGGACAGTTAGAGCAGAGTTGGCTCGAGTATCAGCCATGCTCAGTGTTGCCAAGTCTGCAGTTTTCCCGCAGAATTGGGCTACTTTAACACTTGCAGCGTTTTGTCATTTGGGAGAGTTTTGAGTAGCAATTAGGCAGGTTTTGTTGTGAAAACCTGGCAACCTGCCTTAGAGCATCTTCCAAGTGTGTACCGAAGTCACAATGTTCAGAGAGTTGTTTTAAAACTGCTACATACTGTGCAACCGTCTACCTATCCTCTTGATTGCGTTTGTGGAAACAGAATCATTCTTCTATTATGAATGGCTTTGGTGAAAAATGTTCCATTAACGTCGTAACAATCTCCTGATAAGCCTATTCTCCTGGTTTAGCAGGTGCAATCAAGTTATGTAGAAGACTGTACATTTTAGTGCCCATAACGCTTAACAACACTGGTACTCGTTTTTATTAATCGATATCATTCGCCTTTGTGAAGTGATCAAACTGTTCAATATATGTTGTCCACTGCTCGATGGTCTCTTCAAAAGCATCAATATGCCCGATAGTTGCCATTCTGTTTGTGGATTATCTTGATTTGACACCCGCTTGATTGTCGTTAGCATTTTCAACAATGTGCACGATGTGATCAAATGATGTGCACTCATTTCCGTCAGAAAAGTATGCTGGTTTATATCAGTCTGCACCAGTACAAGGTTAAAGTCAATATTTCCACTCCTCGTCACCAATTTTGTCGTATTTATCAGAATGTCATTATATTCTATGGAGTTATACAGCAAAGACACAACGGAGGCCGAGTGCACCTAACATCTTGAACTTTCTTTACTTAGCAACTGTTCAAAGGTATATACTGTATATGTCACACAGCAGCATCTAGAGCATAATACAACAATTGCAGGATAACCCAGTTCCGAACACTAAATACATAACAGTAAGGATGATACACGGGGGACACTCGAGAGAGGTCGAGGGATTCTTAAGACTGAGGAGAGGCATCTAGGGAACACGAGAAGATACATGTTGCATGGCAGTGTTGAAGAATGAGAGACATAATGGAAGTGTTTGGTGAATGATTTCTCCTTTGCCCAAAGGTCACCCATCCAGGGCGGTAACAACCAAGGGACTCAAAGAGAGGTGGAGCTTCTTGGCTAATAAAACATCCATAAAATTTCCAGCCACACCGGAATACACCCAAGCCTGCAGAAAATGTCTTTCATTGCCCCAGGAAAGTGCGACCTGAAGAAGCAGACCAGTGTAGGTTAGGGGAGAGGTTTTTGGAAATTCCCATCACAGACCTCCCTTGTCTGCACAGGATAGAGCTTTTCCCGAAAGCTCAGGAGTCTCTGAAATGTCCAGTCTGGCCACAGTAAAGGCAGCTGCTTCTGTCAGCTGTTCTTTCATACGACGGTCCCGTTCAGCAGGTGATAGACTGGTACCTCCCAACTGCATGGGCTCTGGGGTTTCTTGGGAAGCTTGATTTGTGAGGTATATTGGACTTATGAGTCCATTCCCTTTCTCTAAGTCTATTGCCCAAGCTGATCACTGCCTCAATTAGAGACTCAAGAGTACCAACAGGGTCTCTGGAAGCAAGTTCATCCTGGATGGCCACCGAGAGACCATTCTGGAAACATACAATGAGGGCTTCTTTATCCCAGCCGGTGCGGAACTGGATGGCATAGTCTGCCACACTGTGTTTTCCTTGCTGGATGGACAACAGCCTTTTCGAGGCCTCCCAACCTCAGAGGGGATGATTGAAGACCCGTCGGAACTCCTCCACAAAGGCAGAGTAGCTGATACAGAATGGACTGTGGCCTCCCAGATGGCTGTGGCCCAAGACATGGCTCTTCCAGAGAGAAGGGTGATGATAATATAGGCTATCTTAGCCCTGTCTGAAGGGAAGGATGATGGTTGTAACTCGAAAGTGAGAGCACACTGTGTCAGGAAGCCGTTGCAGGCACTAGGGTCTCCTGAAAAGCTTTGATGTGGAAGTAGCTGGAGGTAGTTGGATTTGGAGGCACCGGCTGAGGTCCTTGGGCATGGGTTGGAGTCTTGGCAGGATCAGCTATATCAGCGACCTATATTACACACTACATGATATGTAATATCCGAAAAAGCATAATAAGGGCATTTTAACTAAATAACATAAAATGTAACACACAACCCTGATATATAATATTATTAATTACAAAAATAGAAATAATACAAAATATATAAAAGAAAACAAAATTCTGTAAAAATTACAAAACATTTTGGTTACACTTTATTTCAGTAGTCTACTTCAGACATTCTGCTAACTATAAGTGACTTTGACACTACACATCAAGTAACTCATTAATTTGCAACTGCATGTTGCTAACTCTCAGAGTATTAAGTAGACCTTTAGGATAGGATTAGGTTTAGTAGAATTGACAATTGAGATGTCCTTGCAAAGTTATAGTTAGAAAGTCTAAAGTGGACCAACATTTTTTTACAGTGTCTAGTGAGGGCACATGTTCCAGTGCTTAAAACATGCTACATGCATAGGTCACATATCTCTTGTGTCTAAAATGGACCATGGACTGCCCTGATGGTGGCAGAGTCTAGTCACACTACTGGCCGTAAAGGAGACAGAAAGTAAATGTCCTTGCCAGATTACTGTAATTTTACTGGCAAAGAATTAGCATCATACTTATGTTCCTGATATAATCTGTCTGACATGTTTACCCATATGTAAAATTGAAATCAAAATTATTCAACCATTCAACCCCCTAGAGACTTTAATAGTTTACAAATGTAAGCAGATCCATAATAATAATAATAATAATAATAATAAAAAATGCATCAACAGATTAGTGGCATATTAAAAATGACAATGTCAATACATAATGTAACAATTTTGAGTTAAAGGATTTTTTAAACTTGTATTTAATGTATTTACTTTTTTATTTTATTATTCAACCCCTATTCAACATAGCTGTTTTCAAGTGACTTATTTGTATGGTATGGTACAAAATTGTGTTACACCACAATTAAGCTTTTGAAAACACTTTAACAAAACCTAATTCACTGTTGCACATAATAAATGAATTCAACGCATACATATGCTAAAGTTGAGTAGCAAATATAGTCAAGTCAAAAGAGCTCCCTATCAAAATGTTTTGTACCAGAAAATCTTTGAGGCAGTTGAAGAAAAAGCACAATATCATAAAGGGCTAGACCGGTGGATATTCTGGATGTTTTATGAGTGATGTGACCAAACCGGAACTTATTGGACTCATGGATCATGTCTGGTACATGTTAAACCAATTAGAGCAAATTAGATTTTTTATTTATTTTTTTCTTTCTTTTTATTTTTTTTATCAACTTTATGTCCTCAGAATCACTCAAATGTTTATTAATTACTTTCTATAAAAGTTTACTTATGTTTTGGTTGAATTGTTTTCTTAAAGTTTTGTTCACAGCTGCAGAATGTCTTGCAGGTCAAGGGGGTTGAATAATTTTAATTGCAAATAAAAATCCAGAATGCACTAATATTTTCTTCAAAAAAAAAGAAAAAAAAAGAAAAAGTAAACATCTAGTTGCCTTTGCAACTGATGATTCAGTCTGACCTCATTAATACATACACATAACAATTACACATTTTTATATGGTTTGATACTTTGGTAGGCTATAAGTATAGGTATAGAATAGGTAGGTGCTGCAAGGTAGGTCTCTCTCTCTCTCTCTCTCTCTCTCTCTCTCTCTCTCTCTCTCTCTCTCGCGCTCAAGAACGAACGAGCATAGGCTCTGTATTCTGTGTCGCAATGTCTCCACGGGCAGAATTTCTGAAGGAAATACAAATGACAAATGAATGAACGACGCCAACGACTGAACTGCAACAAAGGACAATCTCACAGGTAAGAATGTTTTATTTACTCCTCTCTGAGAACACGGTTAAATATTAATGAAAATACGTGTGTGTATACGCGCGCGAGTGTAATAAGATGGTTCATGACCATGACAGCTGCGCAGTAAACTCTTTCGACTTGACGTCTCTCATGACGCGTAAATGTTCAGATGAAAATGATTGATTAGACATGTTACTGTTTATTTTAGTGTCGTTGCATTGAGGAAAGCGTTGCGCTAAAGGACGTATCTACACATACAGAAAAAAAAGGGGAAGCGACTGCAGCACGTCTATAGCGCAATTCTGGACAGCAGAGGAATTTTTCCATAATGGGTCATACTCCGTTCTATAAATGCCTATCATCTGCCTTAAGGCACTCACGAATGCTTCACGGGTCTACACTATAATATTCTGTCTGGTAACCTGATATGTGCTTTATGTGGTGCATCTAATTTATCCGTTTTTAGGTTAGACAAATGAAAGTCACCTTAACGGTAAGATCACGTAGAAATAGGTGAAACAACTGCACAGTTTCATTTGTTTCACTTTGAATATGACCAAATCACAAGAATTACAAATATATTTCAAAATTCTAAAATTTAAAGGGGTCATGAAATGCATTTTCAGTTCTTTATATTAGGTTTCTGGAGGTTAACTTATGAGGTTTGCACTCAAGGGGCGTTACCTCTTTCAAAAATGTAAATGACTTGTGCTGTGATTGGCGAACTTCATCGCACCGTATTCACGCTTCCTCCATATGTTTGAGTCAGAGCCCAAGGCAGAAGAAAATGAACTAGTGCAGCCACAGTTGCAACAGTCTGCTTCAGCATGGTAAATGCTCATTCTGTCATCATTTACTCACCCTTATGTCATTCCAAAACTGAAAGACTAACGTTCATTCAAGGAACACAAATGAAGATAGTTTTGATAAAATCTGAAGAGATTTGTTCTGCTATTGAGTCTGTTCACCCAAAACTCCATGTGAATCAAGCAGTTTAAATCAAGTCTTCCGAAAAGACACAATGCCTTTATATAATGAATAGATTTAATTTAGGCTTTTGCTCACATTTGTTTTTATGAAGAAGAAAGTAAGAATGAATTTCACCAGATGTTTGACCAGAGAAGAAGATATAATGAGAGATGAAACAGTGTAGGATCCACTGACCTTATGTCATATGAGTCTGCATAGACTTAATGACGTCACAGGCTAGCTAACCCTGTGAGAGAAGAATAGTGTTGTTTTGGTGGATCAGGTGAGTCAAATTCTGATTGTATGAGTCACGTTTAAAGCCATACACTCACCTGTGACCACACATTTAAAGGGGTCATATGATGCTGCTAAAAAGAACATTATTTTGTGTATTTGGTGTAATGAAATGTGTTTATGCGGTTTAAAGTAAAAAAAACACATTATTTTCCACATACTGTACATTATTGTTTCTCCTGTATGCCCCGCCTTCTGAAACGCATCGATTTTTACAAAGCTCATCGGTCTAAAAAGCGAGGTGTGCTCTGATTGGCCAGATATCCAGTGCGTTGTGATTGGCCGAATACATCAAG